TGTCCGTAAGAAGTGTCCAACCAGTGTGAATCATCTTTGGGCAATCCTCCAGGAGGCTTGGAGTAATATATCAAGTCAATGTTTGAATAAACTGACTGCTCGGATGCCTAGTGTTGTCCCTTATTATCAATGCAAAATGGTCACTAACTAAAGAGGATTTATGCTGATATTGCCCAAAAACCCTATTTTGTTCAGGCGTGTCCAAACTTTTGGAGGGCAGTGTATATATATATATATATATATATATATATATATACATACATATATACCTTGTTGTGTCACAGTATTTTTGCAAAGTCTTATCTTGCATTTTTTTGGCTTTAAGTCCAAGCCTTGGTTTCTTGTTTCCACATTTGTTCCAGTTTTTTTGACTCACGCCTGTCTCTGAACTTGATTATGGATTATTCTAGTTTGCCTGCCTGTGTTTTGACCCCCACCAAGGACTAATTATTCATGGATTAACGCACATTATAGATAGATAGATAGATAGATAGATAGATAGATAGACAATGGTGGGATACTGGGAGGGGGTACTTTCTCATAATATTCAGAGTTCATGAAGCTTTTATGTTTTCTAATGTAGGTGGGAGTAAGTAAACCGTATCCTTCAGAAATTTGGTGCCTGTGAGAGCTCATAATGAACCAAGCCTCCATCTTGTCTTTGCACAAGCTTCTCTGTTAGATAAGAGAGAAGCTTTCTCTGAGGATGACACTGAAGAGAGCGTTAGCAAATCACAGCTCCTCTGAGTCAAACTCTTAATTAAAGCCCAAAGTCACAGTCTCCAGTGTGTCCTCCTCCAGGGACTGATAACAGTGCAAAAAGCTCCCTAATGTATGTTGCTCTGATAAACTCTACTGTTATTGAACACAGGGCTGAGTCACGCTCATCATGCTAGTTATGAAATGAAGATGCTCACTGCAATGTTCGTGTTAATTAGATTTTTGGCGGTTAAATATTGAATTTCCTTTGTTTGGCTAGAAATATTGCATTTCATAATACAAATAGAAATATGCAAATAGGATGAGAGTCAAATTGTAACGTGAGGGATAATGAAGCAGGACGTAAGTGCGTGTGCTGGATATTCCAATAATAATGCTAGTCAGAAGTCGAAACAGGGGTCACAGCACAGGCAAACATGTAAATAGGAATATCCAAAAGTAAGTGAAATAAACAAACATGGGTCAAAGCCAATAGAAACTTGAACAAGTAAAACAAGGCTCAGAAATGCTCAACACAATTGGAAAGACTTCGCAAAAAGACATAGACACATAGTGACAAATCCTGATTAACTTTCACCATAGCTAAAATGTCTCTACCCACATCTACACACAGATAATTTGGGCTCTGCATGTAGCTGATGTCATTTATAAGGTGCTAGCAAACAAGACCTGTCACAATCCAAGTGCTTAGCGAAAATAAAACTGCCTAGCAGAAATGCTGATAAAGTATCCACCCATCTCAGGACTTAGCGATGCGAATCAAGCTTGTTTGTCTCCTGTCCTTTCATCTCCTTTTTCCTTTCTAAGACTGTCAGTCATACCTGAACGATCTTCTTGTTTATCGTGCAAATGCTTTGCTGGTTTCAGAGTTCAATTTCAATAGGAGATGGATTTATGGGACTCTCAGTATGGTTACCCAAAACTTTTTTTTTTCTCCAGCTTAGTTTTAATAGCGCTCAAAAGGCTTTCCTTTTATTTGGTCTCCACTGACTTCTTGTTTGAAGAGGCGATTTGTTGAGCTGCTATTTCAATCCAATTTGTTCTTGAACATTCTAAAGTCATTTGAAGCAATAGATGCTCCGTTTTCATTCGGGCACAATGTGAAATTTAATTTAGCAAGGCTCTTTGAAGGCACCTGTCACCAATGGAAGCGAGAGTTCTATTTCAGATAGTGATCTCAGAAAATACCTTATTGAGTTTTGGAGCTGTGCCTCTTGGCTAATGATAGCTATTATTTCACGCAGTCCCTGATGCAATATCGGATGCCATTCAACAGGCATTTTATTACAGAAATATTTTAGTATACAGCCTTATTTTCCTGTTTTATCTAAAAGTATTCCCTTGGAGAGTCTGCTGTCTTTAGCTCTACTGCATTGTGACCTTAACTATTTACTTTATTCTATACTTTACAGATCTTTGGAACCATCTTTGGAAATTGGGGTGATTTATGAATGGAGGATTGTCTCTTATTAGTCCCTTTTTATTAAATTAACTGCATTTCTTGCACCATTTTGTTGTTACGTAGACATCGTGCCACATCAGTTCAATGATTATCAATGAACAGAAGTGTGGTCTAGGGAAACACAACACAGTATGCCAGAACATTGCTATTATCCACAGAAAAGATGACTAAGAATACAAAAGCACCAGTTGATTGTTATGAGTAAAAATTGCTTAAGTAATATCACTCGAGCAAGAGTGCTGTTTGCTTTTATACAACAGTTCTATAAACAAAAAAATTAATATTGAGTAACTGATATTTCAGACACAATATGGCCAAATATATAGTGACGGTGAAATGTACCAGTACTGTTATACTAAATATCAGCACTCTTGGATCGCTGCTTGTCCAATCAAATTAGTGGACTGAAACTAACTATTGTATAATATACTTTGTGAAAGGATAATACAAATTA